AGAAGAACCATTCAGACAAAGGTTCTTTAAAGAACCATCTCTTTCTTACCTTTTTATAATCTGAAGAACCTTCTTTCACCACAAAGAACCATTTGTGAAACAGGAAGGTTCTTCAGATGTTAAAGGTTCTTTATGGAACCATTTAGACAAAAAGGTTCTTCTATGGCATCGTGAAGCACCTTTATTTTTAAGAGTGTAGTAATATGTAATATACATAACATTGTAATATGTGACCCTGGACCCTGGTCTTAAGTCGCTGGGGTATATTTGTAGCAATAGCCAAAAAAACATTGTATGGGTCAAAATTATAGATTTTTCTTTTATGCCAAAAATCATTAGGATATTAAGTAAAGATCATGTTCCATGAAGATATTTAGTCAATTTCCTACTGTAAATATATCAAAACTTAATTTTTGATTAGTAATATGCATTGCTAAGAACTTAATTTGGATAACTTTAAAGGCGATTTTCTCAGTATTTTGATTTTTTTGCACCCTCAGATTCCAGATTTTCAAATAGTTGTATATCGGCCAAATATTCTCCTATCCTAGCAAACCATACATCAAAAATTGACCCTTATGACTGGTTTTGTGGTCCAGGGTCACATATATTTTGTCACCATTCAAATTTGCATCTTTTATTATTCCTATATTGCAGAGCTTTTAGAAAATTTTGAACATTTCATTATACCAGTTTTTCGCTTGTCTGAGCCTTCAAAATCAAGCGTTGCTATGAATAATGTTTTCTTTTTTTTATTCTGGAGTGTGTATAGATGTCATTGGGAACTGATAACCTTTTAGAGCTGACTTTCTTTAGAAAATCTCTATTCATAATTGTAAAATACTGGAATAAGATGCATCAGCTGAGCATAAATATTGATCTCCTCGACACGAGCCAAACTAGATATGAAATAGACTTGTCAGGGCTGACTGGTCAACTGGAAAATGTTACAGATATTGCTTCTCTTTTGGCGAGAGTGATTCCATTTATGGCATATTAGCCTGTTGCTATGAGAGACACGCAGCCTTTGAGAATTCAGCATGTGACAGAAAGCCTGTTTTAAACATGTTGCCTAAATATAAACGGCCTTCTGTCTCCCCGCTTAACACAGCCTGAGTATTTGTCTTTCATTTCTAGTGGTGAATTGCTTTTTAATTGCCTTGTATCATGTTCTTTGTTGACTGACGTCGGTTTGGCCTTGCACGTTTAGAAAATTTTCCTCCCAGATCATTTTTGCTTGTTTTGAAACATCTGTGATCACAACCCGTCCGTTCCTGATCGGATCTGATCCCTGCAGATCCAGAGGGAATGCACATATATTCAGTCAAACTCTGCACATATTAATTCCCCTCAGTGAGGGAATCGCTCTGGTCTTTATAAGACACAATGGAAAGCAAAAACTTGGAAATGTAGAGAAATATAGATTTTTTTGGGGGGGGGGGCAGAATAATTCCAGCTCGCGGCTAGATGAAAATGAAGTCATAGATCAGTCGAAAGGTTTTCCTCATCCAATTCCTCATCCTCCCTCTCCTTCACTTTCATGCTGTATTTTTGGCCTCCTGAGCATCACTGTCTACGTGGATTAGTTTGAAAAATATCCGCAGAGCTAAAATGCCTCTGCTACTATGAATAGCAGAGACGTTAGAGACGTGCTTTCAAGTTCTGGCCAAACCAAATGAAAGCCTCATTCTCCGAGAGCTTCCTCACATTGAAATACTACAGCTATTCTTCTCAAGTTCGGATTTGCATGTTTAGTACATTAACCTTAATTTCCTTCTTTTTTTTTGGTCCTTTCCCTTTTTGATTAGCATTTTAAAACAAAAATATTGCTGATGTGATACATTAATTAAGTTAATTCAGAGGCCTCCATCGATCTCCGCAATGATCTAACAGCTCCTACATATCACCTCTCGAGTCAGATTAGTTACATTAGTAGCTCTCACCTCTTGTCAGTCCCTGCTAGCTGAGTCTAATTAAAAACAGGCTATGTTGGGGAATAGCATGCTGCAGTAGTATGCATACTTGTCTAGTATACACATTTTCTGTATGCATACAATACCCGGGTGACTACATTTTCCAAAATATGCTTTATACTGTGTGAAATATTATATCAATATGCCATGCATTCAGGTTAACCTTTTATTTCCAGTGTGATGAATGAACCAGGAGTAATAAAAGTTATACAAATTAATTTATTCAAATATACTTTAACTTTTTTTATAGTTAATCTAGTTTTCTTATATTCAAGATGAATTTCTTATTTATTATCTTTGTGCACCTTTTATAACACTAGAGGAAATGCATTATCTCTTGATCCCTGGTCTTTTTGAACCTAAACCAAATACCAGGGTTTATATATACGCATTTGTTTGTTTGTTCGTTTGTTTAAATTTTGGGGTGATAAACATATTATTTTTGTGTTCTTAATAACAACAATAAAACTATATATGAAAATATTCTGTGCAACTTTTATAATCCTAGAAGAAATATATTATCTCTTGACTGGTCATTTTGAACCTAAACCAAATTCCAAAGTGTATACAATAATTACATATCCAGTTATGAATATTTTATTTTATTTTACTTTCTTTTTTTTCTTTTCTTTTTTTTTTGAGGGAGAACTGTCTTATTTTTGTGTTTTTAATATCAATATTAAAACTATATATAAAAATATTATATTTTTCTGCGCAGACTTTGGAGATAATCAGAACATCGTGTTATTTGTTAAGAAAGTGGTTGGCTAGTATTTCATACTGAATATAATCAGAATGTACAAACTCCTGTACATTAGTCAAAATAAAATGTTTTTCTGGTTAAGCCATGTGTTGCAACACCAAAGTAGTCAATGATATTTCATAGCTCAGATGTGACAACAGCTTTAACAAGATGTTCTGTTCAAATAGCAAACAAAGCATTATAAATCACAAACAGGTCCCTATTTTTCTATGTACTATATGTGAACTCTTGAAGATAAACAGGAAAACTTTGCTTTGAGAGGTTTCCAGACTGACTTCAGCTGATTGGCCTTAAGGCATTTTGACATATTTAGATCTGAGAAGAATTAAGTGTACTAGATTCAGGTATAATCCACTTTGATTAATGCTCCACGGGCACAAGAAACAGTCTCTGGTAATCAAAACTCTCCACCCCATTTTTTATATTTAGAAAAAAATTATTGCAAATGATTGAAAAGATTGCATTAGAAAAAGATAGAGTTGATAGAGCAGAGAAAAACAATGTATTAACAGCGTCCATCCATTCCTATAAAAATCACTGACTTTGCCCTTTCATAAGATCAGGCGAGATTTTGTTAACATTTATTTATTTATTACTGTTTTTAAAAGAATGTAGGACACTCTGACAGTTATAATATAACATTTTATTATATAATAATATATAATATAATAATAATAATAATAATAATAATAATTGACAGAAAATAAACAGTTCTTATCTTCTTTGCAAGTATATCTCCTTAATGTTCCAAAACATCCCCTTTTTTTTCATTTATTAAAAAAAAAAAAACATGCTATTTGAAAGCATTTCGTTTTCATCTGCTTAAATGTTAAACTTTGATTTCTAATGTTACTTTTGTAGTTACTTTAGTTAAATTTACATATTTGTCATCTTTAAATTTGTAGAGGTTCAGGTTTAAGCAATGTCTTTGTAATTTGTAATCTTAATTACAACTTTTTTCTGTTTTATCTCTTAATAATGAAGGATCTGTCTTATAAGAATGAGGCTTAACAGGCACATTTTGACCATAATGAAGTCAACATCTAATTTCCTCCTATATCAGATAAACACAAGGAGCATTTCTGACTGTGTTTTGCTCTTGTCATGAATCTGTTGATACAACAGCCTGTAATCACATCCAGGCTCTGCTATCGCTGATTGCGTTGCTAGTATAACAGCTCTTGATAAGTGATCCACTTGGCCTTGCAGCGCCGCTTTTTCAGACATGCATCAAACAGCAGCTGTGCCAACACAGGGACTCAAATACAATTAATATGCATTTGTTTCTCAACCCATCATATTGACTTGTTGATAAGCAAACTTCTGTATGAGATAATGTGGCAGATATGCTTTAAGCCACATTCGCCTACTAAACATTGTTTATTATGTGTGAGTCATCATGTGGGGGACCATCTTATGTAACAGATCCGCATATACACTCAATCAGTGACGGTCCAAACAACACCCACAGACTGCACAGACCTCACAATTAGTGAAGCTGTTTGTTTCAGCCAAAGCTAGTTTGAGTTTTGGCAGACATTGTATCTTAAGAGATCTACCTATTCTTGCATTCACACTTTGACTGTGTATTTTTGCACATACTAATGGCTTATTCTGCATGGCCATATTTTAGATCCTTTAATCCAACCCCATACCTGAATTTAACAACTACCTAACTATTACTAAACAACAAATTAGGAAAAGTCGTAGTTAATAGTTAGTTAATGGTGAGAATTGGTCCTGAAATTTTTTTTTTTAATCCATTATTCAAAATGTATCTCTTATTGTTTGCTATATATTTACTATAATATTAATGACTCGTCCAACTTATCATAAATGAGGCCTCATCTTTAAATATGAAACTCAGACTAAATTGTTTGTTGAGTTTGCATTTATCATTACTTAAAAGTGATTATTTGTTGTTGTATATAGCCTTTTTAATGTTATAGTGTATTTTTTCATAATAATATACCATAATGGTTGTCACATATTTCATACAAGAACAAAATGTTAGTGTGGGAGTACAACCATGAATCAAATGCAATAGCAAATTGGCAAAAAAACAAAAACAAAAAAAAAACATGGCAACAAAGCGCAGTCCCTTTCAGCCGTCCACATACACTCAGATCCTGCGATGTTTTGGCTCCAGCTGCGGCTCGCGTCACCGTGGCGTCAGAATCCTGTGAATGGGCGAGCTGAGAGCAGCCTGGGAGAGGCAGCGCGAGCGTACAGTGCAAGTCTGTCGAGCACCTAATCAACTTCGCGAAATTGAAGCGTTTCTACGAATCATAATGAATGACATAAAAGTTGCAGTTCTGGGATCCGAGGGTGTCGGGAAATCAGGTATGTCTATTTTTATGCATTATATCTAAATATATGTATTTAAAAATATATATATTTTCTGTGTTATATTTATGCCTTTTTGTACTATATTTATTGAAAAGCCTATAAAAATGCGTATTTTATCTATGCTAGCTCTATATATATATATATATATATATATATATATATGTATATGTGTGTGTGTGTGTAGTGCCAATTACAAAAAGAATATGCTTCTTATTTTGTTTTCTTCTCTACGTTTACAGCACTTATTGTTCGATTTCTAACCAGGAGATTTATTGGAGAATATGCATCATCATCAGGTATTATTGTTTTCATATTGCTGCATTTTACTATTGTTGATCAGAGACATTCTATTTATAGGGTTGGAGAAGTGTGCATGACTGATGAGGTATTTGGTGGGTGGAACCAAATGTTTGCAAAATCGGTCACTGAAAATACCACTTTTGTGGTGTTTTGTTTAAGTTTGAATGCCTGTTCTTATGTCTGGATATCGACCACCCAGCAGTAAGAGCAATGGCACCAATGGGAGCAGTGCCAAGCAGGCTACACAGCGTGCCAGCGAATCACAGCAGTTTACTGAATGTGCAGGAATATTTTGTGTCTGATGTGATCTGTTCTTGTCTTTACAGAGTGCATTTACAGAAAGCGCATGTCTATAGATGGAAGACAGCATAATCTTGAACTGTATGACCCCTGTTCTCAGGTATGTAGACATGCAAATGTAATTATACTTCTGTTATAATCAAGGCAGTACCTTGATAAAGCACCATATGGTTTAGTATGCTAAAGTGAGCATGACAACTGTGCATATTCCAGTGATCTTTATTTAAGATTACATAACCTTTGCCTGTTTGTGCATGTAGGCTGAATTTCTTTGCAAGCACAGAGAAATGTATTGTATATGAATATGGATTTTACTGTAAGCAGCCCATTTCATAGACTTGACTAGTTTAGACATTTTCCAGAGACCTTGCAAAAAGGGTTAACCTACTAACTATTAGAGCGTATCCAGAAGTCTTACTGTCTTACGTGTGTTAATGAGTATTGTAGAGTTGTGAGTCTCACTGCCTTATATAATCTCTCCACAAGCTCCAGACACAGCCAGCAATATATAATGCACCTATCAGCCCTGCACGCTATCCCATCTGCCCTGTAAGACTATATTAGGCCTGAACACTTATATTAGTATTTGATATAAATAAACCTCATTTTACCACACAGGAGTGAGTTAATAAAAGATGAAGTGTGTATTTAAAAATACTTTTTCCTCCCTGAGCTTTGTATATATTATTAATGTGGTCAAAATACAGTAAATATGGTCTAGGAGGATGAGTGTGTTTTCCTCTTGGATAAAATCCAATTATTTAATCAATCTGTTGCCCATTATGTGATTGGATACCATCTGTGCATCTTGGGGGTCAGGTTGATTATCCTGTTTTTCCTCACAATCCCATTTAATCATATTGCTGGTTCAATATAAGCTAAGCTTAATCAACAGTATTTGTGGCATAAATGTAGTAAAAAATAATTTAGACTTGTCCCTGCTTTTCTTTAAAAACAACAGAAATCAAGGTTATGGTGAGACACTTAGAATAGAAGTGAATGGAGCCCATTTTTGGATGATTTACAGGAATAATTCACACAAAATTGAAAATTTGCTGAACATTTACTCACCCTCAGGCCATCCAATATGTATATGAGTTTATTTCTTCATCGCAACTGATTTAGAGAATTTTAGCATTACTTCACTTGCTCACCAATGGATCCTCTGCAGTGAATGGGTGCCGTCAGAATGAGAGTCCAAACAGCTGATAAAAGCATCACAATAATCCACATGACACCAGTCCGTCAATTAATGTCTCGTGAAGCGAAAAGCTGCATGTTCGAAAGAAACAAATCCACGATTGAGACGTTTTTAACTTCAAATCAATGCTTCCAGCTAAAATACGAGTCCTGTACCTATAAAATTGCTTCTTCGGCGAAAAATTCATCTTCAGGTAAGAAATATGCACAGATCAAGTGAAAACAGTCCAAAACTGTTCTAAATAAATATGTCGGTGGGTTTTGATATGAGAGGACAACAGGAGATTATTAAGCAATATTATAGATTATGGACTGGTATTTGGATAGGGAAGCAAAGGTTTAAAGTTTAAACACCTTGATGGTGGATTTGGACAAACACACAGCTAACTGATGGACTGGAGTCGTGTGGATTAAAGTATGGGCAATATTCCTTTAAAGACTATCAAATATATCTGTATGTCTGATTTCTTTGTGCAGCCATGCGAGGGGAAGTCCACACTCAATGAGCAGATCCATTGGGCCGATGGCTTTGTGGTCGTTTACAACATCAGCGATCGTTCCTCCTTCCTCACAGCCAAAGCCATAGTGCATCTGATCCGAGAGCTTCACCTGGGAGGGTCTAAAAGGTAGCGGTCACTCTGAATACATGCTGTTCACAACAACACCCTCAGGCAGCAGAAGATGAGCCTATTTCTGTCCATATATGAGTGTTGCTCTTATGTGGGTGTCCATAATTCACCAGCTTCTGTTCACATTGAGGAGGATTGTTGAATTGAGTATGTGGGTGGTACTGATGGGCGGATGAGCTGGTGACTCAGGGACTTGTACTGTAGATTAATTGAAAAACATCTATTTTTAGTCTAGCCTTGGCTATTGAGAAATTTTCAATGATTAAGTAGATGCATTTGAGAAATTCACTTTATAGCAGAAATAAGTGGAATATTGAATGGCCCTTCTGTCTTCAGTTAGGATTTATTCTATTCACAATTGACATTTATTTGTTTATTCGTCATTTATATGCTTTCAGGCTTTTCTTTTTGCTCCTTTTACATAAGTTATTGTAAATTAATCATCTTCAGTGATGTTTTTACCTTTGTGACAGCAGGGACACAGACTCTGTGATTTTCCTGGTGGGCAATAAGCAAGACTTGTGCCACATGCGGGAAGTGGACAGGGAGGAAGGCCAGAAGTTGGCGTCCGAGCGCCGCTGTCAGTTTTACGAGCTGTCTGCTGCAGAGCACTACCAAGAGGTGGTGCTCATGTTCTCCAAGATCGTGCGCAATGCCAGTCTGGGAGGCAAGGCCAAGGAGCGCCGCCGTCGCCCTAGTGGTTCAAAGTCCATGGCCAAACTCATCAACAATGTCTTCGGAAAAAGGCGGAAATCTGTTTAAAAAAACGAACTTGGACAATTGTTACAGGACTGACGCATGAGATGCGCCACACTTGTTTATATAGTTCCTCACCGCTTATTGTTAATGTCTTGTCTTGGCCACACAGTCATTACCAGGTGAATCTCATGAAACACATCAAGAACATGGACATATTTCACCCTAAAGTCAAAGGAAAACAAACATTTTCTTTGCTTCAAGAAAATGAAGCCTGTTTTATAACCATTTTGCATTGGAATAATATTCTCATGTCATTTACCTCATAATTTCTCATTACCGCAATGAAAAAAAAAAACTATATATATGTGTGTGTGTGTGTAATATTTTAGAATTGCACTCTAAAAAAAAACATCTGGACTCATTATGGTAATGAGATTTTTACATTGTGGCAATGACAAAATGCTCATTTGTCATCAAAAATAATGTCACGGTGCAAAACATTTCAAATAGGCTTAATTTTGTTAATGCAAAATATAATAACCTAATTTTCTTGCGTACAGCTGCACATCTCTGCTTTTTGTCTTAAATGTTTCTTTAATCACTTCTTAGGATGTTTAAATGTCCGATTTAAAAGAACAACTAAGGACATCACTGATATTTCAGCTTGAGGATTGGCTAGACTGCCAAGTCAAAGTCAGCTCTGAGGTTGTGAACTATTAGTTAGCTTGCCATGTAGTCATAGATCAAATGTTACTTGTGTTTCACTTACCATTTGTTTGTGCAGTATATGAAACTCCTCACTCACTGTTTGATGTAATTTAATCACTTTCTACATGTATGATGTGAGCAATGACATGTCATGACTTTTATGGATTTTGAAATATCTTCAAATTCCTGTAAAACAAAAACATCTGTGCATTAAAATGTGACCATTTTAATGGCCAAGTATCTTTCCATTTTCTAGGAATTCACATATAAAGGTATTTGTGTACTCAAAGTTGGGAAACAACTGGCCTAACCAGAAAATAAGTAATAGATATGCTGTATTGAATAGTTTTTCTGAAATGTTCACCAGAATGGCATTATCTTTAATATTATGCAACAGAATTGCTTCAGCAAGTTGACATTACAGTGAGGAGATAATGATGAACAGACTGAGGTTTTGGAAAGCACCAATAAAATGAACGATGAATCACTCAGCTGGTTCTAATTTGTTCTACAAATTAACAGATACACATTAAAAGCAATATTGTACTAATTGCAGATTACGTTCTAAGTCCTTAAAGGGATAGTTCACCCAAAAATGAAAATTCTGTCATTAATTTTTCAGCCTCATGTCGTTCCAAACCAGTAAGACCTTCGTTCATCTTCGGAACACAAATGAAGATATTTTTTATGAAATCCGTGAGCTTTCTGTCCCTGCGTAGACAGCAAGGCACTCTCGTGAATGGCGGCAGACAGTGATTTTTGTTTTCTTTGCACGCAAAAAGTATTCTCGTAGCTTCATAAAATTACTACCTTTCTGTGCTTTGAACGTGGTAGTTCCCTTGCTGTCTATGCAGGGTCAGAAAGCTCTCGGATTTCATCAAAAATATCTTCATTTGTGTTTCGAAGATGGTCGACGGTCTTACGGGTTTGGAACGATATGAGGCTGAGTAATTAATGACAGAATTTTCATTTTTGGGTGAACTATCCCTTTATGTGTTTAATGGAATGCTTGCATACTGCACAGTATGCACTATGCAATACTATTTACTATTACTATTAAAAGCAGTAAATTGATGGTATAAAAGGTCAATCGATGTTGCTTCTGGCTCCTCACACTGGCATTAGAAGGTCTAAACTCTTATTATTTTGGCAAAAGACAATGTCTTTTGTTGACCCTTTGGACATCTGGCCAACATTCAGCACGACAGTTTCCAACAACAGCAAGTTATGATGAGTAATATTTGAGAGCCAGAAGGTGGATTGGGTCCTTCTAGTTCTCATACATGCAGAAGACGAGAAACCCCTTTATCAACATAGGGGAGAGGAGCAGATGGCTGTTTGTACAGCATTGATTCAAAAGGAGATATGAAACACAAGGTGTTTGCTTATAAGGGTCTTGTCATCACGTATTGATTCCTGGATAAACACTCTCGAACAGCTAAACGTGCTGGGAATTTCACTTTTAAGTATATTGCGAACTCCCCCTTCTTCTGGGGAGAAGAACCATGCACTTTCTTCCAATTAATATCTAAATGTGTTTTCGAGCTTACCATTATTTTCGTCAAGTAGAACAGATTTGTTGGGCCTGTCAACCAATCAGAATTTAGTGTTACAGTTTGTGTTAGTAGTGTTCATCAGTTGTACATTTCAAAATCCTTACTTCCGAATGGCCCTTTCAAGTGGCCAGTTTTGAGCACTTCGGTTTGAAACTACTCTTCAATATGGCGGCCTTGATTGCTCTCACTCCGAAGCAGCGAATTTATCCTGTTTGGAATACAGCAGATGGATGCCATTTTAGTGCCTCTAGTGATGCCAAATGGAACTGCAATCTATTTGTTTGAGTGGCTCAATTTGGCCCAACATATTAAGACAATGTGCAATTTGGGATGAGGGAACCTGTTTATCCAAAACAAAGGTAGAAAAAGGGTAGTTTTTTTAATTAGTTTGACAGTCTTTATTTACATAATTATGTTAGTTGTCACTAGCTGTGCAGAAATACCTCACTTTACCTTTAAATTTACACTACTTTGGCCTCTATCGCCAGCTGTAGTTGAAAAATAAATTGCTAAATGTATTTGTCGAGGTGCTTTTTTTAACATCTGATTTTGTATATAATAATATTTAATAACTTAACACTGTATTCAGTTTTTGCAGTAAGGGATAAGGTTAGGACTATGCAAGTACGACTGAAATTTTGATAAGCATAACAGTCACATTTGATAAGTGTGGCATCAACTTTTTTTTAATCGCAGCTTTTACGTCTTAGCTATGGGGATTAAAATGAGCTGCATAGTTAGTCATCTTAATACTATTGTTCTTAGTTTGTTGTACTGTTAAAAAAGTAAAAAGAAGAGAAACGTGCTGTCATACCTTAGACTTATCCTCCCACCTTAGGGTCTATTAAAATTCATCCGCGAGACATTATAAATAATATTGTTTACCACGCCATCATCATTCACCCAGTAAAGCGGCATTGAAAGCATTTGGCACAGGTGGAGTAGAGGCCATGGAGTGAATGGGTGGTGTATGTTTACATGTGCAAACATGTGGAAGGATGAGCAGCAGAAAACTCAAAAGAAAGAGGTGTTGCTGGAAAGCAAAGCGACCAGTTATGGGAGATTTGCCGTTCAAGCCACAGATGTGAACTCGTGCGTGACCCCTCTTCAGGTGTTCTTGGCAAGCGCTGGATCTTCAGCAGATCCTCAACACCTGACCAAAGCAAAGCACAGCCTGGGCCGGCACGCAAAATTACCTATACGCAACAGACCGTGTACCCATCACAGATGGAAGTACTGTCATTTACCTCCATAGAGGACGACGCACTGGCAGAGCAGGTGTGCTGATATAAAAATGATTCTCGCATTTCCCTCTCAGTGCTTCTGAATGAATCATCAAAGTCTTAAATCTTAAAGGTCCGTTCACAACAAGAACGATAAAACTCTTTAAATCCAGATGGATTCTGACTGGCTGACGATGTTTTTATTATTCATTAGTTGAAAAAAAAACGCCGTTAAAGTGATTCCAGCGATGTTGTTTCTCTGTGTCAATATCATTATAGCTGTGATTTGGACACTGCTATTCGTTTATATTTAGATAGATTTTTTTTAATTATATCATTATCGTTATAGTTATTGTCTTTGGTGTGGTTACTTACAGTATTTGATATCACATTCTCCATCATCTTCAAGATTGGGTTCATTCCTGTGCCATACAGTATTCTCTATACTTCTATTTCTAGCATGCACTTAATTATATTTGTTGTATATCACCTAGTTATAATTAGTATAACCTAATATAGTTATCAGTATCAGTAACCAGTAAATTAAAGGAGTACTCCGTATTATGAAAAAGTATTTTTTATTTATATTTATTTTAATTTTTATGTATTTATTTCATATATATATATTATATAAACAAGCTATTGATGTGTATTTGTAACACTTATTATTAATCACACACATGTAATCAGTCTCTCATTAATGTGTGTACACAAGCCATGCTAATGAAAGCTAGGACTGATTAGCCATTAATTAACAGCACATCCGCTGGAATTCAGTGTGGGGTGATTTGGATGTGGGAATTCATGAACTTCTGGATTGTTAATGTAAAGAGAGACGTGAAATTGTGTTTTCAATTCTACCGTCACTGCACCTTGCGTGTGTTCTTACAAAAACAACATGTTGCCTGAGAAGGAGATGGAAAGAAAGTGCCATGCACACCATAAACCATAATAGCTGAAAGCTAATTCATAGTTGAGCCAAAAGATTGCCTTGCAGCAGCAGGCTGGAATCTCTTTGATGAGGCCAGCAGAATAAAGGCTTAGCATATGGATCTGATTAGCACAGGCGAAAGTGATTCTTTGATTCATTTCTGCCCGAGGACCCAGTGCTTGAGTTCAGTGTGTTGTGATACTGATGTTATAGTGTTCATCTTTGCACTGTGTTTTTAAATGCGTCCCATTCTGTCTGTATGAATGGGGCAACAGATTTTGGCCTCCACATCAAAAAGATTGGACTTTGTTGTAAACTTTTATTGACCCACATTTAATGTATTTATACATGTGGGCCACATTCATGTATGTTGTATTGGCGGCATGAGAAGCTGATATATTTTAAGATCAGTGGGAGGTTGATTTGTTTAAGACACATTATCACATTAGCGCATATGTATGGAACGCAAAGTGGAGACAAGAATACGCACTTTCTGCGTGCTCACATGACAATAAGAAGATGGAGAGCGTGGTGGGGAATACACAGCGAGATTACAGATTCTGTCACTGTATAGTGCTGTTAAATTTATAGAGTAATGATGCTAACATACTTCAAAGTTCACATGGAAGCTGGCTTAACACGGTTTCTAACTGGTTGAAACTGTTTATTTAGGATTAGTAGCAGTTTCAAACTGGTTTAGGTGGTTGTTCATCTACTAAACTATAGCTAAAAGCAGGTGAGACCTTGTCGGACACAAGAGGTCAAGGCTTGGCTTGTTGACACGGCCAGCTAAAA